ATTATCAGTTCCCTGGCTTTATAGAAGCCCTGCCTTTTCCCACACAGGTGAGCTTCCCCTAATTAGGGCTTTCCATTAGCCCCTGGAGGGCAAGAGTGGGGTGGACAAAAATAGAAGGAATGCCAAAAATAGAAGGAATATTTGATAACTGAATTCCCAGAAATTGTGATATATGATCACTTATTTCATACCCTCCAGTAAATATAAAGAGATACTTTTCTAGTATTGTTCAGAAACGTTTGAAAACAGTAGTAGTACACCTGATCTGGAATAAAATAGCCAAATAGAACTATGCATTTTACTGATGATGAAATCTCAGCTGATGGAGGTTTAAAAAAAGAGAAGAAGAAAGTAAAATTGAAATAGATTTTCATCAGAGAAACATTTAAATGATTAAATTTGCATTCTCCATAGGAAATTGATCGACCAGTAGACTCTTAAGTTGATAGTATGGTAGGGGAGGTTTACCCAGAACCCTTTTATTTTTTTAAAATGGTGCATTTTAGAACTAAATTCTGCACAGCTGGATATGATAAAAGCAGGGCAACACCATCTGCCAAAAAGACTGAGACTGAATTCTCTTGCTGGATTTATTTATGCTTTGTTCCTTAAATCAATAGGAAAAAAATCTATTTAGGATTTTGCTCATACAACATATTAAGGGGGTTTCCTGAGAAAGGAATCAAATGAATACACTAAAGAAGATTGTTATTCTTAATACTAGGATAGCTGTAAAACCGTGAGCCCATAAACTTGGGGTCCACTCCAAGTATATGAAGAAAGGAAAAGAAAATGTAATACTTTGTGAGGGTAAATGTCAGGAATTGGGGCTTGCAGCTGAGCCTGGGACCATTAGACCTACTTCCATAGTGAGCAAGAGAAGATTCCCAGCTGAATCACTGCTGGCTTGCCGTGGAATCACCTGATTGGCCAGACTGTCTGATTGGCTGGAGGAACCAACAAACATGCTCTTAAGCCTAGCAGTAGTAATAGACCAGCAGCTGCTTAAAGCATTTGTTTATGGTGGTAGTAACTTCTTTGTCTGCTTGTTCCTATTCCTGCCTTGCTTTGCTCCAGATAACTGGGCTACTGATACCTGCTGTAACCAGTAGGCCCAACCACCTGCATCCCACTCACTGACAGTAAGGGATGTGAGATGACCACAAGAATTTCTCACAGAAAGAAAAAGAGAGCTAAAAAGTAACTAACAACCAAGACAAAATTAATACTTTGCAGACAGAGAGCAGATTCAAACCAAACATCTCAAAGTGCTTTTAAAAAACTTAAGGGCAAATCATCTTCCTGTGCCAAGCTCAAGTAGCTGGTGCGTGCATCTGTATGAGTGTGCTTAGAGATGAGCATGTTCAAGCAGGGTAGTGGGAATGGAATCCCCCCTGACCTGCCCCTCTTTCCTGTGATAGGTGCTGTTAGCAGCTATAAATAGAGCTCCTTTTGGAAGCCACCACCCTGGTTGCTTAGAAAATGCAGGGCACTGGGTAGCTACAGTAGGATGGGGGGTGTTTGGAAGGTTAGTGGGGATCACTTACATCTACAGGGAATCAGATGAGGTAATTAGCTCACTAACTGTATAGCTTGGAGAAGAAAACAAGCAGTATAAAAGGCTGAGCGAGGAAGTAGGAAGGAGGCCTCTTCTATCTGCTGCTACATTATGTTGCTCCTGGAACACAGGGCAGGAAATAATAATAAAAACGCTTAGTGAAGGTACCCTAGTGGAGTGCATGTGCTGTTTAATCCCCAGGTAGGCTTACCAGCTAGGGTTTCCAAGGCTGGATGGGGGATTGTACTCACCCTGAATAGGGAAGAGGATCTATTATTACATGTATCCACCAGTCCTGACCCCAGTACAATCCTAAAGCCTAAACTTCAAGGTATGGAGGAGGTCTGCACGTGATCTCAAAAATCTGTCCATCTAACATAACAGTAATGAAGAATGATTTCATCTACCCTCATATAGGATAATCAAATGTTATCATCGGATAAGGTTTAGAGAAATAATTCCTCAACACCCTAAATGGTTGCTTCTTGAAACAGCTAGTTCATGAGCACATCAGAGGAGAAGCTATTCTCAACCTAGTCCAGTAAAGCTGGTTGTGAATTTTTTCAACTAATAATTTATTTGTTGAAAAATGCCAGTGCATCACACCCAAAACTGTTCCGGAAACAGTGTTGGGTTTGACAAATCTACCAGCTCAGAAAAATGTCAAGTCTGTTTTTCAGTTCACAGGTATTTTTGAGATTTCAGCTTTTTATCCAAGACAGGAAAAAATTTTAAACCCTTGAAAATATTTGTAGACTGGAAAACCATTTCCCACCCAGCTCTATTCCTAAAGGAATTGGCTAAAGAAATAATTAAGTTGAACCACTAGTAAAAGTGACCGCACTATAATTAAATTCAACATCCTCAGGGGGAGTACCTGGCCTAGTATGAAACTATGCATTAGAAAGAGGGATTTTTAAACAATTGGGAAGCTAGTCAAAAAGATCCTAAAGAAGCATTTTCAACATTTTTGACAGCTGAACCCTTCTCCAAGAAAATAAAATCAATCACAGTCCTCTTCAGTTCTCCCATGGGAGGTAGGTTAGGTCCATTTGAATAAGATAATTTTTATACAGCCAAATGCAAGGTCATATATCTAAGAACAAAATATGCAAGTGACATTTACAAAATGAGGAACTGTATCATGGAATGCATCAATGCAGTGACTCTGAAAACGACTTAAGCGTTACAGTGGATAACCAACTGAACATGAACTCCCAGTGCGATGCCATAGTTAAGAGGACTAATGCAATTTCATGGATCTATAAGCAGGGAAATATCAAGTAGGAATAGGGAGGTGGCATTACCCATGTATATATCGCATTAGTGAGGCCATTACTGGAATACTCCAGTTTGTTGTCCACATATTAAAAAGTATGTAGAAAAATTGGAAATGGTTCAGAAAATAACTACAAGAGATGAGTGTAACTTCCAATGGAAGCTGTGCTGGCATAGTTGAGGGATGAATTTGGTCCTTTTTAAAAAATTGTGTTTAAGCAACATTATATAAAAGTAGCTACAATTTGACCCCACACTATCATTTTGTAAAATTTCATTACGGTTCTGTTAAATAACTGCACTGTTTTAAGGGTTAAGATTTGACCACAGTTATGTAAATATAGTTTATCTCAAACTGGTTTAGAAGTACCCGGCATGGACAGGGTTTTGTAGGGTGAACTGGGGAAGTCTGTCCTCTCTGATTCTGCTTGCATGAAAAATTTCAAACTCTTGAAAATATTTGCAGGACTGGAAAACCATTTCTTACCCAGCTCTACTCCTAAAGGAGTTGGTTCAAGAAATTAATTAAGTTGAACCATTAGTAGAGCAGAGCACATCACACTGAATAAACAATTTGCAGTGACTACTTCCAAACCAACAAGCAAAGAGAGAGTTTTGTCTTGATCATACAGTCAAATAAATAAAGCCTGTTGTTATTAGAATTAAATATGCCTTTCAGTTAAAAGCACGTGAATATATCTGAGGCCAGATCTACCCTATAAACTAACATCGGTATAACTGCACCCCTGAGCAACACAGTTAAACAGACCTAACCCCGTGTCGACATAGCTACCGCCTCTCGTGGAGGTGGATTAACTACGCCAATGGGAGAAGCACTCCCACTGGCGTAGTAGCGTCTTCACTGAATCACTACAACAGTGCAGCTGCAATGGTGCAGCTGTACCACTGCAGCATTTTACGTGTAGACTTGCCCTAAGTGTGTGGTAATCCAACAGTACCGATTGCATGGTTAGATACCTCCCTCCCCCGCCCCCCCCCACAGGCATGCACGCTCCTATTTAAATGAATGCTTTGGTACATGTTGAATATCTGGCACTCATCTTAACACATGTATAAGACTGGAGTGGAAAAACACATATTCTGCATGCAATGTCCATGATTTTCAATGTTTAGAACTGTTATTTCTACACTAAACTCTTTCAAAAGGTCTAACTCCTGATAAGTATAAGGTTTCAATATCTGCCTACACACCGCCTCCAGCATGTAAATCACTCCCAGCTATTCTGTATGAGTGCTATAGCCAGCCAGCCATGAATTACACTGCAGGGTAACACCAGCAAACTCCCAGTGCCAGACTTTCCCCCAGAAATGTGTGGCTTCTACTGCCCAGCACCCTCCTGGACAATACAAGCTTGCATAAAGTCCATCCGTTCATTAATAGAAAATGATACATACAAATCTTGTTATCTCAAATGAAGTTTCCCAAACACTTCAATCCAAACACACTGATTTAGATAAAACAATAAAACAAGTTTATTAACTATGGAAATATAGATTTTAAGTGATTACAAGTAATGAGGCGTAAAAGTGATAATTGGTTACAAGTAAATGAAAGTGTCTGGTTGCAATGTAAGGACAATATCTGTGGGCAGTTATTTTTATGAACACTTGGCAGTACATCACTGTAATAAGAAGGTGAATGGGGAGTCTGTTAGTAAGTCTTATATTTTGATGAATTTGTTCATGGCTATATTTTAGTTATGTAAAGTGCCCAGGTGCCACAGCTAATGGTCATCTTTATACATTTCTAACTAATGTTTTAAAAACTACATAGTGATCTGGGTCATTTTCAAAAAAATAAGAGGAATGAATAGTAAAAGAATATGTCTGCTAAAGGATAAATGACTTAAACTGCTTTCCAACATGCGATGAACTTCAAATGACAAGCTAAGGCCCAAGCGGAATGTGTTGGCAATTTATATTAAGGTCAGCTAGACATTTATAAATGTGATAGATTTAAATTAGGTGCTATTCCATAAACACCTGAATCTTTATTTATACTTCTTCATTTGTCTAGCATTATTCCTTAGAAAACCAGAGGAGGAGGATGTATGGAGAGAGCCACTTCCACTGTCTGCAGCGGGACACATTTCACACTCACACAGTTTGTGAAAACATGGTTCTTTTATTTTGAAAAATCATAGCAAAACACTGCTCATGGCATGGTCAAGAGGCTTGCAAAGGGAAAATAAAACATCTTCTCAAGTACATTTTACAGGCATGTGGCTAAAATATTTGATTTAATATCCTGATGCAAAAATGGAGGACTTGTTAAAATAGTTGTATTAACCTTACACTTGATTTCCTTAGAAAGGTATCACAAGATTGATTTAGAAGGAAGACTTCCAGATCCAAACTTCACATGTTTACAGAAGCATTTCCCTTCACACAGCATAGATAGTAAAAGATAGTCTGTGGAGGTAAGAGATATGCAGTTTCAGAACAGTTTCAGCTATGCAGTTTCACGAAAAGAATCTTAATGAAGTAATTTGGTGTGACAGAAATTATAAGCAAGAAGCTACATGAAAATATTGGCAGATGGGGGTTGTACTCACAATTTGAGGTCTGAGAAACCTGGCAGGTTAAGTTCACATTAATTTTAATTATGAATTAATATTTTTAAATGCATTTGTTTTTATTGCCTTTGCCTCTTTCCTTATTTCCCTTTGCAATTTTTTTTCAATTTTATTCTTATTTATTTCTACAGAACCTATTTCCTAACCATTACTTATTCACCACTGATATATACCTGGTACAACAGGTTTTTCACTTGCTTCCTTGACACATTGTGTGCTAAATTTCTGTTTGTATTTTTTGTAATTGTGTGTATAAGTGGTCATTTTTACATCAAACTGGCTATCTACAGATACAATTTCCCAGTTTGCATGAAGAAGCATGGTATCTATCTATCTATCTATAGATAAGGCAATTGGGTACTTCTTAAAAACCAAGCCCTACATGGCCTATAACACATATGCCATATTTTACTTAACAAATATAACTCCTTATTATGGCATGGAAGGAGGAAGAGAACACAAATGGATGCACAAGTATATTAGTTAATAAATATTCCCTGCTGAATATTACCTAGATGAGCAGCCAAATTTTCTTCTCAACCTTATCTGAGCAATCCAACTGATTTCAGTGGGCTTATTTCCATGACTTTATTATGATTACTTAACTGTTATTGCACATATATAAATGAGAGGACAAGCTGACCCATCTATTCATTCCTGTGTCATCTTTCAAATTGTCCACACACAATACTAACTCTAGTGATTCTTCAGTATGTAAGCCTAGAAAATAATCTTTGTAGGCATTTTCAAGAAAATTAGAAAGTTAAAATAGCTTCCAAATAGAATGATGCACTCTGTTATTTATAATACTGACTCTTTTGTCCCATAATAATAATGATTAGAAAATTATGACATTAAGCCCTGGAAGGTTTTGACAAAGTGGAAGGAGCTGAGATTTCCACTTGTGGACACCTCTGAACTGATCTCAGAGATGTTGATGACATGATGCTTTTTGCTATAACCACCAATGCAATGCAATGAATATTGGAGTCTGTAAAAACAGTTAGTGAGGAACAGGGACTATCCCTGAATGTGCCTATTCCTCACTGAATGTTGACATGATTAACCAAAAACAGAACACAAGCAGACACCACAATTAATGGTCAAGCTGTACAGGCAGTAGATACATTCAATTATCTAGAATCATATATATCCAACCAAAGAGGCTGTTCCAAAGAAATCAGAAGAAGACTAGGAATATCTGGCAGAGCCAAGGCCTCCCTTACAAAAGTCTGGAAAAAAGCATGGCATCTCAAAATGTATGAAGGTTGGGCTGGTGAAAAGCTTAATTTTTTCTATTGCAATCTAGGGTTGTGAATTGTGGGAAATGAATGCTGCTGACAAGAAGAAAACAGAGGTGTAGTGCTGGCAAAGAATATTGCATATCTCCTGGATGGAAAAGAAGACGAATGCTTGTTAGAAATATTATGGAAAGAAGCAGACTGTGATATGAGAAATCGACAGGCATGGTGGTGGTTCATCACAGTAGACCAGGAAGGAGGTGAATAGATGGTGTGTGGCAGATCGCTGGGAAGTCTGCTGCTGAAAGCTTGAAGCTAGGAATGGATCAAAAAGGTTTCCAAAAATACTGATGTCACCAGTATTCAGACATGAATAACTGGATTTTACTTACTTACTCTTTTGTCCCTCTGTGGACAACTGTCCATCAGTCTATCCAGACTGAAAATAAAATTGAAAGATAATATAATTAATAATAGTATAGTAGCCACCTTTCTTTGCTTTAGAGGAATTATGACCAGTTATCTAGTGGCTGACATGTCAGCATTATAGTTTAGAGACGCTTATATATGTATAATCAATAAACCCTTATGCTTACCCCAGATGATCTTTTGTGCAACTCTACTGAGTTCAGCATATAATGCTTTTCACATCTTATTCTTCTTTCAGTATTAAAACAAAATGTTTGCAGAACTGACAGTACATTTACAGAGCAGTAAAAGTTATGATAGAAATGCAGCTCCTCGCTGACATTTGACAACTTCTGGCTTGGGATGGCACAGTAGATGGGGAGTAGTGCCCCGAGTATGATCAGCATATTTATACCTTTCATTCCAAGAAAAAAATACAACATTAAAAAATCTCAGTTGCTATGAATTTTATAGAATCTTAATTATTCACAGGAGAAAATACTGAATTTTTATTGTCATATATGTAAGATTAATGGCCTACGTTTTCAGAAGTGACTGGAGATTTTGGGTGCCTCAATTTTTACTTGCCCAACTTGCCAAACCTCTGAATATCAGGCCCCTTTAAGGTGTCTCAAGTTGGACATCTGAAAATTGAACACCCAGAATCACTAGGCCCTTTTAAAAAAACTGGGTCCCTAAATAATATAAAGTAATTCTAGAAATATTGCTGTTTAAAGCAGTTAGAGAAAGAGAGAGATTCTAAATAAGAATGAAGACGGAGTTCCATTTGAAACTTGATCCTGCTCCCATTTAAATAAATAACAAAACTCATATTGACTTTAATGGGAACATGAAGAAGCCCTGGATATATGTTTGATTTGGGATTTCCAAGCTGTTACATTTGCAGCCCTCTTGACTGTGTTCAATAGCACCAAGATCTTAGGATTCTGAAATCACTCTGACATAAGAAAGTATAAAATCAAAAAGGCCATTTTCTGCCTTTGAGTTCTGATATTCCTGAGAATTATAATACTATCTCTTTCTAAATCAGTAACTTAAAATAAATTAGTAAAGAACTTAACATAAAAAAATCAAACAGACATTTATGTACAGTGCAATCTGAGAGAGACACTCCTATATATATACTGAAACTGGAGTCACACCTCCTGGTTCTATGCAATTTAGCTGCTATATGGCCTGTTCAATAGTAGGGCCGATAGTTTCTTACGAAGTCCACTACTAACTTGTAGAAAGGCTTAGTCTGCACTGAATCTATATGGCTATGAGGGTTAACAATAAAGTTCAAATAGGATCTGACCTTTCCTACCTATCCCACAAGGATTTTTGCTGATGAAATACTGCTATGAAGATCACACTTGCTATATTTTTCAGTATTTGTCTTTCCTGATGCCTGCTAGAGAACTAACACATCATTGATTTGACAATTGCAGGACAAAACTTCCCTATTTCAGAACGCTATTCATTTACTGATTAACTTACTTCATGGCTGAGTAGTCCTGCAGGGTCGTGCTGTACTAATGACCAGAGCAGAGGAACTGAATGCAAACCAATCAGAAGTAGGTAGGCCTGGAAGTATTCCAGATTTTGTTCAAGTAATTACTGGAAGTTCAGGAGCTTTGGGGACAGAGTTGAAATCAAGTGCATAAAAGACTAGATTCACATCCTGGAAGGGCAGAAAGAAAGCATAGGAGAGAACCTTACTGTAAGAGGGTATTGTAGCCATCGCTGTCATGAGTCAGACAAGGTTGTGAAGTAGGGGACGCAATGTTATGCAGATATTTGTGATACCAATGATTTTACAAAGGACTATAACTGTTTTCATTTATTGTTATTTATTTTGCTCTCTCTTATGTATAACAATGGGCTGATCCTGCAAACCCTTATCCCCCAACTTCATTGAGACTACTTCTGTGAATGCGGGCTATTTATGTGCATATGGATTTGTTAAGATCTGGCTCAAAAATAGCATTATGATCTCTTTAAAAGATTTACCACTTCTCTCTGGCATTTTTACTCATAGCAGCCCAGATTCCCTATCACAACAGCAAAATATCATAAATGAACTCAGAAGTGTTTCAAACATAATGCCTGATACTGAGTGGTACTATCTCCACCTCCTACAGAAGTCTGTGAGAGCTGCTGCTGCTGAATAAATACCTCATAGGATCAGGCCAATGAAAAGGTCCAGTAGAACCTCAGAGATACAAACACCAGAGTTACGAACTGACCAGTGAACCACACAACTCACTGGGAACCGGAAGTACATAATCAGGCAGCAGCAGAGACAAGAAAACAAAAACAAACAAACAAAAAAACCCAACAAAATACAGTACAGTACTGTGTTAAATGTAAACTACTAAAAAAAAAATAAAGGGAAAGCCGCATTCTTCCTCTGAATAGCAAAGTTCCAAAGCTGTATTAAGTCAATGTTCAGTGGTAAACTTTTGAAAGAACAACCACAATGTTTTGTTCAGAGTTATGAACAACTTCCATTCTCTAGGTGTTCGTAACTCTGAGGTTCTACTGTATATTCTTCTCTCTGTGCATGGATTTAAATCTTATTAGTACTATGGGGACAATAACACATGGGCAGGCAGGAAAATAGGCTGCCCCAAGATTATAGGTTACCATATATTTTTCATAGTCAATGGTTCAATTCTTGATTTGTTTTCAAAAATAACATTCAGCTGAATATGTTCAGAAGGTGTCACAAAGAAGAGAAGGTTACTCACATTGTGCAGTAACTGAGGTTCTTTGAGAAGTGCATCTTTTGAATCCAGGCGAGCCTGGCATCAATGTATTAATTTTTTTATCTAACTAAATCTAAAGAGCAACTTGGAGATGAACTCTCTTTGGTTTTTTGGTTTTGTTTTTTTTGTAGTCTGAAACTAAAATTTGAGACTAAATTTAAGATTAATACTACTCTATGTGCTACTGAAATCTATCTAATAACTAACTTTACTATCTAAATTAATATTTCAGACACCCCTTGTGGAGCTCCGCCTGCAGGTGAGGACGGTTGAGAAGGAACTGGGGTGGGGGTGGGGCCGGGGCGGGGCGTGCAAGCACTAATGGCACACAAGGCGCCTATGATGCATGCACGTTCCTGACCAGGCACTGCTACCAAAAGTCTCCCATCAGTGGTGCCAGGACATGTCAACACCTAAAGTGAAGCACCCACAGGGACACCACTCGATGAAGAAGTACCAGCTATGCAAAAAAGAGCAGAGAGGGGGGTAAATAGTCACTGAACCAACAAGAGACATTGCAATTTTGGACTTGGTTTTGGTAAGTAGTGAGGACATCACAGAAAATAATCTTGATTCAAGTGATCATAAATTAATCCAGTTTAAATGAAATGGAAGCGCAATCAAAACCAGGTCTACAGTTATGTTTTGTTTTATTTCAAAAGGGCAGACTGTTAGAAATTAAGATAATTAGTCAGAGGAGTCAACTGAACTGAAGAACTCAGATTTAAATGTGGAGGAGGCTTGGAGTGTCTTTAAATCAAATGTACAAAAACTATCTGCCATTTACAACCAAAGCAAGAGGAAAAACACTTATAGGGAAAGGCTCCAAACCAAGTTGAATGAATAACCACCTCAAAAAGGTTGTTAGGAGTAAGCAAAGAAGCTATAGGGAATGAAAAAAGGGATTCATAGGCAAAGAAAACTACATCTTGGAGGTCAGAAAATGTAGGAATAAAGTTAGATTAAAATAATAAGAGGATTTTTAGTTATATAAATAAAAAGAATAAGGAAGGATGAGGTTGGAATGCTTTGCAGTGTGGGTGGGATGAGATTAAAGATAATCTAGGTATGACCCCAAAGCTAAATGAATACTTTGCCTCGGTTTACAGTAATATAAAACATGGGCATAAAGACAGGATTGCTGATGTGTACAGAAATGGAAATTACCACATCTGAAGTGGAAGAAAAACTGGAAGAGGTTAATGCACTCAGACTGGGGGAACTGGATAATTTCCATCCCAGAACACTGAAAGAACCTGCACATGAGATTGCTAATCCAGTAGCAACAATTTTAAATAAATTTGTATATTCAGATGTGGTATCATATGACTGGAGAACAGCTAAATGTTGTACCTGTATTTAAGAAAGGGGAAGAAGGTGATCCAGGCAATTAAAGACTTGCATACCTCAGTAGTATGTAAGGGTTTAGAACAGATTTTGAAGAGAAGAACAACAACATTCATGGAAGTAAATGGAAAAGGGGATGTAATGCAACATAGGTTTACTAAATGTAGATCATGCCAGACTAAGCTGGTATCCTTCTTTGAGAAGATATCTTAAAAAATTAGTTAAGGGAAATGCAGTAGATTTAATATACTTGGACTTAAGTAAAGTATTTGACACAGTGCCACATAGGAAATTATTGGTTACATTAAGGAAGATGGGGATTAATACAAGACTTGTAAGGTGTGTGTGGAACAGGCTCAAGGGCAAAAGGCAATGCTAAAGATGATCCTGGCAATTATAGGCTGTTAAATCTAACTTCAGTACCAAGCAGATTGGTTGAAACTGCAGTAAAGAATAATTATCAGACACATAGATGAACACGATTTGTTGGTGAAGAGTCAACAATGCTTTTGTAAAGGGAAATCATGTCTCACCAATCTATTATAATTCTTTGAGGAGGTCAACAAGTGGACAAGGATGATCTAGTGGATACAGTGTAGTTGGGCATTTGACAAGGTCCCTCACCAAAGGCACTTAAGCACAGTAAACAGTCATGGGATAAGAGGGAAGGTCGTCTTATGGATCAGTAACTGGTTAAAAGACAGGAAACAAAGGGTAAGAATAAATGGTCAGTTTTCACAATCAAGAGAGGTAAGTAGCGGTGTCACCCAGGAAACTGTACAGGGACCAGTGCTTTTCAACATATTCATAAATGAACTGGAAAAAGGGGTAAACAGTGAGGTGGCAAAGTTTGCAGATGATAAAAAATTACTTAAGATAGTTAAGGCCAATGTTGACTGCGAAAAATTACACAGGGATCTCACAAATCTGGATGACAGGACACAAAATGGCAAAAATGAAATTCAATATTGATAAATGCAAAAATGCAGATTGGAAAACATAATCCCAACTACACATACAAAATGATGGGGTCGACATTAGCTGTTACCACTCAAGAAAGAGATCTTGGAGTCATTGTGGATAGTTCTCTGAAAATATCCGCACAAGGTGCAGTGGCCGTCAAAAAAGCTAACAATGTTAGGAGCCATTGAGAAAGGGATAGATAATAACACAGTAAATATCATGCCATTTGATAAATCCATGGTATGCCCACACCTTGAATACTGAGTGCAATTCTGGTTGCCCCATCTGAAAAAAGATATTTTAGAAATGGAAAAGGTATAGA